TAAATTCATACATACATACATACATACATATATACATACATACATACATACATACATACATATACACATACATACATACATAAAGTACATACATATGTACATACATACATACATACATACACACACATACATATATACATATATATATATATAAATATATATATATTTACATGATAAATATATATATGCGAAGAATGTAATTTTTGACATTGTATAAAGGCACGTGCTCTTCGAAGTAGCGTGAAAAAGAATAAGCTCAGTTTTGTTTACAAGGTTGAGAGCACATAATATTGTTTGATTTAAAGTATACAACTTCTCAGTTGTGACACATAAATTTCACTTTCTACGAGTGAAGAAACGTATATTGTCAATCAATTGGATTCTGCTTTAGCTTTATATATGTCATGCGCTGGTCAAAAGCGGCATGGTAATTGTTGAATAATTCTTCCAAGTCTCAACACGGTGAGATGCTCAGGTTTCTAAAATATGCTATATATAAGAACAGCTGGCATAGCAGACAAACGTACACGCCGGGATAAAGATTATTGATTACTAAGATTTGGTCTAGTCATAAAGTCTATTTACGTTCACTTGTTGAGGTCGTGTCTGTGGCCCCTGTCTTCGTCGGTATCATACTAGTGCGCTTTTGTCGATAAAACATGAACAACAGTATCATCGAGCAAGCCACCCAATATACACAGTAAGAGATTACGGATCCGTACGTGGCTATGTTGTTCCATCCACAAACCGAATTAAGTAGTCCCCACCACCCATTAGAAGGATCCTCAGGATTACAACAATCAAAGTACCAAATATTCGTGCGAGGGTCAAACAGCCCAGAGCCGGCATCGTCAGCGTCCATGTTGATCGCTTGACTCCATGAATAACTTTCAAGCAAGCCAACACCCTTTGACATTAATCCGGCACCGAGGAAAAGAAGAATGCTCATCATAGCCATAATGAAATAGCGCATAGGAAATCGTTGGCCGGAGAAAAATATAACAAGGCCCACGAGTATACCAAGGATAACACCAATTACCACTGATAGGGGAACAGCACTGGCGCTTGCGCTGAAACCTACACCTGCGACAAACACGAAAGCTTCCACAGTTTCTCGCAATAGTGTAACAAAAGGGATCCAAAAGAACCCTTGTGTATCTTTGTGAAACGGCGATCGAATCAGATAATCACACCACTGTCTAAGTGACCTGGGCCGCATTACCGGGAGACTGTCATAATTATCGACTTCACCGACTACAGCTATTTCGGGGTCTGGTTTGTTCGTTTTCTCTTTCTTCACCATTGCGGTGCTTGTGGCTTCTGAATCGAATGAGAGACCGGTCGCCGGCTCCGAACCAGTACCAGCTGCCTCCTCCATCTTGACTGCCATCTTATTCGCCATCCTTTCCACTTTTCCTTCGGAACCCAGAAGCCCGATGCCGGCAAAGGTCAGCATAATCGACGCGATCAACGAAAAAATACCTTCCCATAGTGACTCCATTGACACCCACAGGTCGGATGCATATATGTAAAACACGCAAATAAAAGTAGTCCCGAGAATTGCAGCTATGAGAAATCCTAAGGAACTGCCAAAGACCACCACCAACTTGTTTCGTTTGGCTACCTCCTCATCTTTGGTGGTGCGTGTAATAACACTTAGAAGTGTGCTTATTACTAGTGATGCTTCCATGGATTCGCGCCACAGAATAAACATAAGCTCAACGGATATCACATCCTCGACAGCCATCGTAGAAGATCTGTATGCGCAACGTGAAATGTATCGATATTTGAAACTTGTTCAAAACGCTTCTAAAACTCACGGCGTATGTTGATGAATCACATCAATATGTATTTTTTGAACTGTCTTTCTAGAAATCTATGAAATTATATAGTAGTCTGCGAAAGCAATGAGATTGTAATTTTAGCCCAGCTCTTTTAGGCTTAAAACAGTAAATAGCAGTCGTAACAACGAAAACGAACGAAGAGGTCAGGCATTTCATGAATCGACACGCGGCACTAGGCACTCGGCACTCAATTGAACAATGCCATAAACTGGAGCCTGAGGGCGGAGGCTGGATTGCAGTCCATCCCACGGGAGGTGTTTGGTTTCACAGAATTATATAGAGTACAGGACAGACTTTGAAGTTCGAGAGGAGTCGGCACTCGGCAACCGGCCCTGAGCACTTGACACTTGCACTTGGTAGTTGGCACTTGGCACTGTTGGCAGACTCTCAAGGCACTCGAAACCTGTGATAACATTTTATCCAATAAAACCACGATTTTTTTTTCGGACGTTATCCAGGGGTAATCAAGTCTGTTCAGCCTATTTATGGTCATGTGCTCACTTTCTTCATTTAAAAAAACAAAACAAAAAACCAACTTGTTACAAAATACTATTAATTAAAAGAATTCATACACTACTACATATAGTAGTTTCGATTCCAAAATCACTTCTAAAAACAAAATAAAAAAACCAACGTGTTACAAAATACTATAAATTAAAAGAATTCATACACTACTACATATAATAGTTGCGATTCCAAAATCACTTCTGAGTTCTCTCAGAAGATTCTGAGTCTTCTCTCTCTCTTGTGTGTGTTTGCGTTTGGGTTCTGGGTTCTTAAACTGGAACCCCTGGCCCCCTACTATTTGCTACTCTGGTTGGTTGAGGTATTTCATTGGATGGAGATTTGTCTAAATTACTGTTTCAAGTTACATAAAGAGTATAGACTCAATACTCAATTGGGGATTTGGGTTTTGCACTCTAATTCGAAAACTGTACAGCAAATACAGAGTACATATGTACAAAAAACAAAAACAAAATGTACTATTTGTTTCTATAAAAGATAACAACAAAATTTATAAAAATTTAGGACAGACATGGTCAAGCACGTTGAAGATAAAAAAGTACAGAAGTCTGTGTTATTATCAAGTTTTGGTACGAACCCGGAATCGGACCGGTCCGTCCGGAACTCCGAATTGTACTCTCCAAAAATAGTAATCTGCAGGGCGCAGTGTGGCTCATTGAGCTGTGCAAAACTTCGGATACCTCGCATAATATTCGTAGCCAATAATACCCTAGAACATGGTATCCTAGACTGATTATTTAAAAAAATAATGAATATACTGTTAAATTTAACTTGCTCATTCTTTATACAAAAAAATATAGCCTCCTAAATTGTACAGAGGCTATGAAAAAAATATTTTGTTGTAAATTTTTATATTTTTGTAGTAGCGGCCTACAGTCCTAAATTATATGGGACAGTCCAGCCCTTGTGGATGAGAACTTGGGACAGTCTTCGGTTGTAGGGTTTAGAACCACTGCGAAGCGAATCTATCTTATTTAGCTACTACTAGCAGAGCGAAAGTATTGGAAGTGACTCCTGGTTAAGGACTCAAAATCGTGAAATCGATCCTTGGGTCGACCCTTTATACCCTCTGGTTCTTACTACATAGAGAGCTGAGAGAGAGAGAGAGAACGAGGTTGAACCGTCTCTAGCTTATTTTCACGATAGTAAACGACGGTCGACTGTATATTTATTTATCTACCTCTTGAACGTTTATTTTTGACATTTATTTATATATTTTTAAAAAATAGCCTTTTTCTACTAGAAAGATTAGAAGAATGCCTAAACTTAAAACTGACAATCTGACAGACTGACTGCCTGAGTCACTGAGACGCTGATGAGACTGACAAGAGAGTGAGTACTGAGTAGCGAGTCTACTAACTCTCTCTCTTGAGACTTTAGAGAGAGAGAAAAAGAGAGAGAGAAAGAGAGAGAGAAAAGAGAGAGAGAAGAGAGAGAGAGAGAGAGAGTAGAAGAGCAACACACACTGACACACACCGAGTCATTGACACTAGATTCTCTTGGTCTTGTTTTCAAAACAAAAACAAAAAAATACAAAAGTGATCAGATTTTTATTATTATTAAATAGACTCATTGGCAGGTACAGCTATTTTTGCCAGAGTTTTGAATCATGATATTTTCGCAAAATAGCGCATCTCTGAGGAATCGGGAGTTGGGAGTGGGGGCGACTGGGAGTTCTGGGAGTCTGGGACTTTGTATTTATTTTTTTGTATTCGAATATTGGTTTGCGAAAGCTTGAGGGAAATCTCTGTTTCGGGAACCCGAATACCAATGGGTCGAAACTGGTTGGGAACCCAAAATATATCGAGAGATTTGATTGGCTGTAATTAGTGCGGGCCAGATTATTTGGTAATAAATAAAATAAATAGGAATTTATAAACGATAGTAAATTTAGTAATTTACAAGTCTGAGGACTGAGGACTGAGGACAAGCGCATGCACCTTGACACTTGACTCAAGAGAATCGTCGGACGAGGACTCGAGGACTCAGGCCCTACTACAGTCGACAGTAGAGCCGCTATTTACCGTTTCTGAGGATTGACGACAAGCGCGTGCATAGTGGCAATTGTGACTTGACTCTCAAGATAACCCTGCGGCCCGCTATCAGGCAGTACCGATTCTGAGGACAAGGGACAAGTGTCGCGTGCATCGCGACACTTGACTCTGCTATCAGGTAGTACTGATTCTGAGGACTAGGGACAAGTGTCGCGTGACACTTGGCTCAAGAAAGCCATACAACAGTAGTCAGTACAGTTGTCGTTTTGAAAAAGTATAAGTCTGCAGGAGGTATATACATTCGCGCATTTTCCATTTCCTTTTCCAAAAGTACAGAAGTCATCCTGTCATCACACGCACAACAGACACCAATGTACACCATGTTTGAACGAATGAAAAGCTGTGTTTTTGCATCATGTGTCCTACTGCTGCTTGGTGTGAATTCTCCAATAGCACAAGTAAGTGCACAAGTGGTTGATAATACAAACAGTAGCGTCACTGCTGTCGAACCGGTTCAAAATACAACGGTATATTGGGATCTTGGCTGGGTGGAAGATATAAATCCCGATGGTCTCTACAGTCGGCGAGTGGTTGGCGTGAATGGATCATGGCCTATTCCGGGCGTGACTGCGTACTACGGTGCATATTTGATTCTCACGGTAAAGAACAGTTTGCCCACCATTGCATCTGTGCATGCACATGGAATGTACCAAAATGGAACATCCTTCTATGACGGTGCGTATGGTATTAATACCTGCGGCATACCTCCGGGCGAAACCTTTACTTTCCATATGCCTTTGCAGCAGACCGGGACCTATTGGATTCACGGCCACAACAACGGTCTGTCTGTTGATGGCTTCAGAACCAGGTATCTAATTGTATTTTTGATGCGTGCGCAGGAGCACGGTTGCTGCACTTATAGGCTGTGTACTGGGCTTTGGTCGTATGAACTTGATCTTGAACAAGTGGGTTTCAACATCAACAGTGTTTTATTTCGTCGTAAGCGGATGGTAATGTCTACAGTCTTTTAACATACCGTTTCATGTTTGTAAGAGACTATTTTCATGTGCAAACGATTCAACCGAAATGAATTCAAATTGATATACAATAAAAATCTTAGTTCCGGAATGTTGTGTGCACTCATTACTGCAACGCAGCATGTGCTATCCTGTCAAGCTTACATAAACGTTATCCCTTTGGTATCAACAGCTTTGTCATTCTGGATCCCCCCGCCAATAACACGCTCAAGGGTGGCTCTCAGTGGCAAGACGATCTGGGTTATGATGAGGAAATCATCATCAACTTGGAAGGTATGTTGTAATTTGTCATGCCCATGGGCAACGTGACCGAACTTCGATTATTATTTAAATATCTTTTAAATCAGCGCCACTGAAAATGTTTCTATTCTTCTGTAAATTAGAACTATGAGCAGGAGAGGCACATGCATGTGTTTTTAGTAGTAAATATGTTTCTTAAATAATCTGGTGTTCTGATATCCAGTAGCTGAAATATTATTTATTATCCTCTCCTCACAGATTGGTATCACACGGAGCATTGTACGCTTATCGACTTCTTTTTGGGTATTTACAATCCAACCGGGAAAGAACCTATCCCTGAGTCTGCGCTCATCAACCACGGCGTTGATTCGGTTATTCAGTTCGAGTACGGAAAGACTTATCTGCTGCGCGTTATTGCTATGAGCGCTCTAGCACGATTCAACATGTACATAGACGGCCACGACATGTATGTGGTAGAGGTTGATGGGGTACGCGTGCAAATGCCGGAAGAACCAGTGTCCAGTCTGTTCTTATCCACAGCACAACGTTACGCCGTGATTGTGCGAGCCAAAAATGAGTCGGAAAGTAGCGCCTGCAACTACTATCTACACGCAGATCTGGATCTGGATATGTTCGACAATCCGCCCGACACCCTCGATGCTTTTCCCAGGGCAACTGTGCAGTATCCGGACGGACAACAAGTGTGTGAAGAATCAGCCGAGTCGCCCGTGGGGAATGTGTTAATGGAAGACGACTTTACACCGCTGGTAGTGCAGGAATTCCGGCCTGCGGACATTTCAATCGCGCTCGATGTGACGTTCGAACTGTTTGACGACGGTGTCAACCACGGCACATTCAATCAGACAGTGTACAAAACTTACGAAGTAATTCCCTATTATTCGGCCATATCAACGCCGGACGAACAGGCTATGGACTCGCTCACGTACGGCCCGCACGGCACTGTCTACCCACTCGATCGAATGCAGACAGTGGAGGTTATCATTACGAACAATGACGCCGGTAACCATCCGTTCCATCTGCACGGGCAACACTTCCAGGTCATAACTCTGGTCGAGGGAGGTACACCGGAGCCATTCACTGCAACAAGTAAGAATCCAGCTAACCCTGCTCGCAGAGACACAGTGACAGTTCCTAGTGAAGGATCTGCTGTCATACATTTTTACACCGACAATCCGGGTGCGTGGTTGTTTCACTGCCACATTGAATGGCATCTGGAGGCGGGATTAGCGGTAGTGTTTGTGGTCGATCCCACGGGCATGCAAGCCAGTCCACCCCCCGAACAGCACACAAAGAACTGTCTGACGAATGGGTTCCAGACAGAGGGGAATGCCGCTGGTGTAACAACGGCGAACGAGATGAGTACATACCCGGATACCTCCGAGTACGATTTAGTTGAGCCATGGCCGGTGGGTTTCACTACACCTGAGAGCATCGGCGCATTAGTTGGATGTATCGCCTCGTGCTTTTTGGGGCTGGGTGTGGTGATCTTTGTAAACTTGAAACTGTAATAGTGAATGTATGCCTTTTAAGTATATATATACAGTATGTAGGTGTATAATCTACTATAGCTGATTGATTGGTTAGGCAGGTGCGCTGAGTAAACAACGAGAACGGGTGTCGCACAGGTCAGCTTCAAAGCAGGTGCAGTTCGCACGATAGCAAATTACAGGATATGCCTGTAGAAGATAGGGGTGCTGTGTAAATATAAATGATCGCACAGTTACTGAACGACTGGGCTGTGAAGACCATATATGTACATATGGTGGACTGCGTGTCCGGACGGCGGAAGGCATAAAGCCGAAAAAATTAGAAGTCAGATTGACGACGTCGCAGGCGTTAGTATCTGCACGTAATATTTGTAAAGACAACACGTCCAAAGAAATGTTTGTATCAGAGAATGCAGCATTCTAACGTAAACTATTAGAGCAATTAAAAGGAAAAGATGAACAGGAGAATACAGATATACGTGATAAGCATGTACTCAAATGTCTAACAGGTACCTATTTTCTTTAAAGAAACAATTTAAAAAATACAGTTTTCACTCACTTTTCAGAATTTCAAAATAGAAATTGTATACATTTTATGAAGTCAGCTATTTCACACATTTATTGGCACCGCCAACTTTATTGGTATCTATATTTATTTTTAATATATATATATATATATCGGGACCCCACTCGGCCACTCCTGTAACAGGTAGCATACCTACCCTCAGCCATGCCTCACACAACTTTGTCATAAAATTTCTCTTCACCCAAGGAATCGAGCCCACGGATCTAGCTTAGTGATATCTACAGTCAGGTTTGTTGATCGACCATATATATATATATATATGTATATATATATATATACACAG